ATACATATACTCAAACACTCTCTTATCTACCTTAGGCTGTATCTAGCCGCGATTCAAGAGAAGTCCAGAACCAATGACTGATCTGAAATCCGTGGTTTACGATCATGGAAACAAGCTGGCAAAGAATTGATGGATGGTTATCATGCAATTTACCTCTCTTAGGGATTGGATCTCGCTGATAGTGTTCCTTACGAAGAATCCGCCTGTCAACCGTTGACTGTTGTCTCGGCTTATCCGGCGAATCATTCCACAACCCAGCACTTGTGAAGATCTCGGGGTATCAGGCGATCGTCTTAGCCTCGAGATTTCAAGTGCCTACGAGGCTATGGCCCAACATATGACCATAGCTGTGTGCGATCAGCAAATTAGTACCTAGTATCTAACTATTTTCTTTTACCTATTCGTCCTGCCAGTGTGCAAGTCTCCACTCACCCCCGAAAATGGACAAGTGTCGCAGTCGCTTCGGAGAGAGCAATTGTTTGTGGCACCACACACTGTTGTGACACGGTGAAACTTGACATAGACAGTGGTGATAGACAATGGAGTCGGATGTTCCGAACATCATTAGACGAGGTTAGAGAGGGAATCATCCCCCACCTATCAGTGCTATTACTTGGATATATTAACATCGTTGTCGCAACGTTCGATGCACGTATGTAGACATACATTGTCACCAGAAGGTGATCGGCTCATGCATACCTGATCATTATAGATGGACATGCAAGTACCGCATCGGTTGCAATTCGGGCATATTGTCAGCATTAAGTAGACAAGGTGCTATCAGGAGCATCCCCGTCAGAATGTGACCCTGCCAAGTGCATACAGAGACCCTGGTAGCTTGCGCAGTTGTAGGTCTGCAAACAACAAAAAATCACACCCTCAAGGCTCATCAGCCACCCCTTCTGATGCACACTGTTAAGATGTTCCATTCCAGCTGCAGACTGGAGCAGGACTGGCGGTCAGAGTCAAACTTTACAGATCCCACCTAAAGTACCTTCGTGCACCCGTGGACGAGACGATACCTAGCAGACACCCGGCCATTTAAGGGACTCAGGAAGACCATCCAAATGCAGGAGATCCTGTCTTGAATTATCAAGATACCATTATGTATACCTTTGGCTTCTGGCTGGCCAATCTACAGCTGCACCTGTGCTTCATGCATGTAGAGATGATGGGAGGAAAGTTAGGCACGAAAGCATCCCGAATCTCTCATGGTCCTATGTTGATTGTCGACAGGCCATTTCTATCTTCTGCAACCCAGAGGTCAACTACGCTTTGTCCCCGGCCTCGTAGAATCATTTGCAATGCTTATCACATCCATGTGAATTTCTGCGCGCCGAGATAGTCAAACAAATTGGTGATTGAGAAACAGTAACAGCGGCGTCGATCGCTTCAGTAGTACGCCTGTTATATGAGCAGATAAAGTGGCTGTTGAATCGAAAGCCGATGTACAGATCTTCCGTAACGCGATGAGCAGTATTGCAGTTGCCTAGCATCACCCTATTATTATTGCTTTTGCAGTTGGAGGATCTCTTTATCGCTAGCTCTTATCATGACCATCGTTCAGCCAGCGCCATTCGTCGGACTCGTTGCAGCAAGTCCTGGGTTGGAATGAGGGAACTGAGCCCCGATAAGGCGAGTGATAACAAGTCATCATTGATGATCCAACTACGGAGTAGATACCAGTTGATATTTATCTCTGCCACTAGTTAGCTGAGAGATGCTCCTGATAGTATGGTTACCCGGATGTTCTTCATTGTCCATTTTCACCTATCCCGCTAGTATCCAGCTCTTTTCAGCCGACTCAAGTTCAGGTCCCAATACAGTCGATCTCTGACCAATGCTGTCTTATGAAATGAATGGCCAGGCTCACCAGCATCCACTGCTGATCGATAAACATGGACGGATCATCAAACTGTTCCCCGCAGTCCGCCACGGATTATCTACTTATCTAACCAACCTCCATCCAACCTTGCCGTTTTGGTCTTGGCGCCAGAATGATTGCTTGGCTGCCCATCAATACAACCTTCCTTATCACGCTGCTCTGTTGAAAGAAGCCGTGCGACTAACCGTCGAATCATCAGAACGAAAATGGCGTCAAAGAAGGATATGCGGAGGCTAGACCTCGGTAAGTCTATCTCAGAGCCCAATCTCAATCATGAGAGCGCAGTTTCGCTAATGTCAGTCCTGACTGTAGCCATCCCCTACATCGAGCCGCCGAAGGATAAGAATGAGGCCGATATGTCAGGTACCAAATCATTCGATATTTGAGTCTGAGAACCATGTGCAGAAAGGGTTGATCTGGCTGATACTCCGCGTTAGGAGCGATGTCTAGCACTATGCCAATGGCCGCGGTAGGTCAAAGCCGCAGTCTCTTGGTGACGGTCTCGACGCATGCTGACTTTCTCTCCGTAGATGTTCACTCGGAATAGGTGAGAGATGCCTCATCGAGCCGGTTCAAGCTATGATATCTGACAACTGTACGCGGCATGCATAGGATGATTGGATGGGTCTCTTTCGTCTTCTCTCTCCAGTCGTGGCTCGGAGAAACACCCGAGCAAAAGAAGTCGGCAGCTACCCCTGCATACATGTCCGTCCTGATGTCTTGTTCGTCTCTCCCTCTTCCCCCGCAAGTGAGGGCGGAAAATGGCTGACAGCTGAAAACCTCTACAGTAATGGCGCTCGTCGTTGTATGTAACCGAAATATTGTTCCCTTTCAACCCTTCAATACCCCGACCTATCTCTGACCACTCTCGCGCAGACATACTTCCCCATATTTATGCCACCTCCATCCGCACGGAGCACCGCTGCTCCTCCTTCTCCTTCACCCTCACCTTAAAATACCAATTATGTCATACCGAAATTCGTCGCCTATCGCATTTCGAGGATAGCTGTCACAAACGCTATAACTACAGACTAAAGCTGAAAAGTATTGTCAAGTTAGGAGAGAATCATCTAAGTGCTCTAAATCAGCCAGGCCATGTACCGTTGTCACAGCCGTCTTATTTCTTATTTCTATCGATGCGCGGTGTGGCATTGTAACCATATCTTTGTAATTTATGGATTCAAATTCATGTAATAATACCTTACTAAACGATGGAATGATTCCATCTATGTTCGCAAATTACCCGCTGATACATTCACGTCCTGTAGCTGTTCCTCAAGCGTAATCTGTGATCTTCGCCACTGCGTCAGGGACAAACCCACCCCCAGATCGGACTCCAGATACTTGTCGCCATCCACTACCCGTACAGCGCTTTCCCATTGAATGGTGGCCCAGTCAGAAGTGATGAAGTTATAAATTTCCCTTACGCGAAGGCGAGGGTGGCTTAGTCAGTGCCACACCGCCTTCCCCCACAATGGCGCTAAATCGAGGCGCGCCCCTCAAAAGGCTCTTCTGTTCCTCTTCTATCTCTTTCTCTGACACCACCATCCTTCCTTCGATCAACTCCCCTCCGTTCGCAAACTCGCAATCTCTCGCAACTACAAAGAGACAACTGATCTCTCGCCTCGCTCACTTATAAATTACCGCTTTTAAGGGCCGTTTACGACCAAAGGCCGAGTTTATGTCCATCGAAAACCTCAAGACCTTCGGTAAGTGACTTTGCCACCTCCCTTAACTACCTGCAATTCTGTCCCTCTGCGGTCCATTCTGGGAGAACATCACGGTGCCTTACACAGTGTTGCAACGGCACACACTTATGCTCTTTTTCATGGATAACCTATCATCATGGAGTTGCTACTCGCTTCGTCTTGACATACGTATCTGGAGAACGGTTTGGCGGGGCAGTTTTGAGGTGATGAGAGCCTGAGGCTGACACGTGCTTCTACACAGACCCCTTCGCCGAAGCTGACGAAGACACCGGCGAGACTAAACAGTCGCAGAATTACATCCATATACGGATTCAACGTACGTCTTATCCTCCACATCATTTTCTATGCCGTTACCAATGGTAGATTTTGTTACCTGAGACAATAGTTGCTAACCGTCGCCCTCAACAGAACGCAATGGTCGCAAGACCTTGACCACAGTTCAGGGTCTTCCTAAGAAGTTCGATCAGAAGAAGATCTTGAAGGTGATCAAGAAGAAGTTCGGTATGTTGCTGCCAGAGCTTCCGACAGAAATTATATGACTCAATCAGCTAACACTTCTATAGCGTGCAATGGCACTATCGTCAATGACTCTGAGATGGGAGAGGTGATTCAGCTGCAAGGAGATCAGCGTAAGGATGTTCAGGAGTTCTTGACCGACAAGAAGGAAGGTCTCGAGCTCGATGCCAAGACCATCAAAGTCCATGGGTTCTAATTTAGACGCCGCGCCCCGTTCCGGTCCCTTCTTCCCAGTCTACATCGCCCTCAGGGTGGTTGGGATAGGGAGCATGTTGTCTTGTCCATCCCTGGTCTGAACCTGCGTGGTGCTTGCCAAAACTGCTTGGTCTCTACTCCTAACCATCTCTGTGCCCGGCACTTTGGACTTGGGCCATGTCGAAATGACGCGCTCAAAGTTAATTCTTTCCTCTCTCGTGAGCGGACGACTCACTTGAAGCGGGTCTCAGATTCTCATATTTTCTTGACTCGACTGTTTTTCTAAGAACGGGATTAGCGACGGAACGAGGCGTTGGTAGATACCCACTATCTGCATAGATGTTTTCCCAGTTTGTTTTTAACTTTTATGTCGTGCTGCTTCGCAGTATGTGACGGCCTGTTCTGCGCACCAGACGTCTTGAGAGGGACTTTCTGGCTCTTCTCTGTCTCGTGAATTAATGTTACTTTGACTGTTTGTACCAGTTTTGAGAATATTGCTTAACCGGGTTTCCATTATCGGTGCAATCTGTTCGACGGGTAACCAGTACTCAGATTTTGGCAAAGTAAATCCTGTTCTATCGACGAAAGCCCGCTCCTATAATAGACGGGGGCTTTACGAAGACGAAGGCTTCGCGAGCCTCGCAGATAGATTGTCTAGTAAACATAGAGAAAAAAGATCATGTTTTCGACCATATTTACAGCTCCCTAGCTCCAGCCCTTGCATCCGCAACACGCATACGAAGAAATATCGCAACGGCCCAGTCCCACAACTTCCGCGTGATCACGAACAAGGGCACCTCTGGCTCGTTCTCGCGGGTCAAGTGTAGCTGCAGAAGAAGCGAGGACATACTGACGAAGCTGGCGACTGATACAACCAACAACGATGCTGTTGTCTCACGCTTGATTGTGGCGTGATTTTGAGTTGCGTGGTAGAGGAAAGTAAGGGTCTTCGATTCAAGATGTCAGTAACATCAACGATTTGAAAGTACATAATTAGGGAGAAAGGGTTGTACGTACTGTTGTGATCGATATCCATGCCGGTAGAAGAAGACGTGGATCTGACGATGCACCGGAAAGGTAAAGAACCCAAGAAGTAATGTAAGCGATCAGCCCGTTTGTTGTAAGAAGACGAATGACAACAGCCGGTGGGGTATAATTTAAAAGCCTGCGGAGAGTGATCAGCAACCCGGGGGAAACACGCGGCTCAGAAAGTACACGAACCATCGAGACATCATGCAATCAGCAAAAAAATAAGAAAGATATGCGGATGCGCAGCACTATGGAGAAAGTCAATGGTCAGCAAAAGCTTTAAACCTTCCAAATGGAGTAGAACTCAAAAGGGTCCATGGGTCGTGAGAGTCATCTCCATTCTACATACCCACATAATAGCCAATGCCACCTCCGTCACTCTAAATCTCCTCTCTACATCCCAATCTTGTCCAACACTCCCGATAATTGCTGCTGCCCAGCCCTCCCGTCCCATCCCCGGCCGTATGTGAAGAAGCTCAGCCAGAAAAGTAAAAGCACACCGCAGCCCCCACCATGCAGCAGGCACCGTGCTCAGCGCCCGACAGACCAGCAGAGGCGCGTGCCACTTCCTGTCGACCCCCAAAATGACGGCCACGCGAGGATGAAGCGCCGAAGAGGGAGCGTTGTGTCCTGCATCGTTGCTGAGGGGAAATTGTGACGCAGGTGAGGCCGGGGATGGACGGACAATGGCGGACACAGCAGACGGCGAAGCCACGCCTTTATCTCGAAGCTCGCCTCTTGAGTTGCGAACCGAAGAGTACGAAGGCGGGAGTGGTGACAGATTCGAGACCGAACGGGGAGTATTTATATCAGGCTCAGAAGGAAGCTGATTATGGAGGGGGAAGGGCGGAGGAGCGGCATCACGACGAGGAGGAGCCAGCCTTATTTCACGGCATATGCGGCCGCTGCGCAATCACACCCAAAAGAGAGAAAGGGAAAAGGGTCAACGAGATGGCCAGCGAGAGGACGATACGCTAGATTGTGCGGGGACCAGTTCCCCTTGCTGCAGGCGTGATGTTTCCTTGTCCTATTTTCCCTCTCCGAGAACAAAAAGGCTCCTGGCTGGGCAAAATTGCAAAAGTTATGGCTCAGGAGAGTGGAAAGTAGCCAAGTAAGTCAGAGAGATGAGCCAGGATCTGACACTTTCAAAAGCCAGTGTGCCGCGCGGACTTGAGTGACCGTTGTGATGGTAAATGCCAAAACGCCGGATGGAGACCCGCAGCGGAGAAGCCAGTCATGTGATCAGCCCCATCCCGTGATTTCCATCGTCGGATAGAATAATTTGTTGCAGATCCAACAGGCCATCCCAGAGTCCAGTCCGTCAGTTCGGCGCTCCTGTTGCCTTAGCCCATAATGGCGTCCTCCGTATGGCTTTCTCCCAGCTCCTTGCGCACGGTTGTGCGGTCCGCCGCTCCCATTGCCCAATTCTATCAAACCGCACCTTCATCGAGTTCCGCAGTTGTAGCATATTGCCAATGCCGCTTCTTCTCTCAGTCTCGGATTGCCCAGCGCGGCTTGTCTGGCGTACCGCAGAATATTTCAGTTAAGCAGCCTGCACAACCGAGTATGAGAACCAGAGGCAGAGAATTGTCGAGGTCGGAATTACCACAAGACATTGGGCTCTTACCCGGCACTTTCATTCGACCTTTGTGGAGAGACATGCCATCAATCTTTCAACAACCGAAAGAACGTCTACAGCTTGAGTGGCTATGGCTGAAGAATGCGGTTCAGAACTTCCTTGGGTATGTGTGCCGTTCCTCGTTTACGGCTATCCGGGCAAACTCTCGCGTAGCATTGGGATCCTTTAAAACAGTTTGGTGCTGACCTATTCCAGGCTCATCGCTTACAGCAAATGGATCAACAAGGGACTACCGCTGCGCCTGAAGGAGCGGCGCCAGGTTGCTCGCGAGCTACATCAGCGGATGTATAGTGCTTTTGCTGAGTAAGTTGTCATTCATATTACCCCGAGCTTCGCGCACTCAATTAACCAGTTCCTTTGATTCTCTACAGCGGAGATGTCAATACCCTGCGCAAGATCTGTTGCACCGGCCTCGCAAATAGCCTCAGCTCCCGCATAGCCAGCCGTCCGAAGGATGAAAAGGTCACCTGGGCTCTGGACAAATACAACCGCACACCAGGCACGCTCTTCACGGGTCTTCGCGTCTTGGCTGATCGCGCCACGCAAATTCCAGACTTGCCTGATTCTGGAGTACGACAGGTTGTCGTGCGTATCACTAGCCGTCAGTCAACGAGCAAGGTCACTATCCCCACCAAGCGCGGTGCTGAAAGCGCTGTTGCCGCAGAGCCTGCGCCAGCCAAGCAGCAAGACTGCACGGAATACATCGTTATCCAGAAGCTTCGGTGGACTGGTGAAGAACAGGGGTGGCGTATCTGGGGCCATGCCACTCCCACGGCTGTCGAAGATCTCGACAGCCCCTTCTTTGCCCCGGGACTCACACTCTCCGAGCGCATGGATGCAATGAAGGACATGATGACAGGAAAGAAATGATGTGAATCATTCTTTTGAAAACTACCGCAAACGCAGCTCGAATCCCCGGGGCTATGTCAGTGCTCGGGGCCAACCGTTTTGAGGTTAAGTCTCCATACTGTTATCAACCCGGCGAACAACAAGTATTGTCGGCACTGAATTATTGAGAAGAATTCCATGCTCTTCTCGATTTCAACTCGCCTGCATGCGAGCGGCTTCATAGCTATCCAGCGTCGGCTACTTTCCATTCTCGCATGTGTATACTTATGCAGATTCTCTGGTCGCGCTTTCGTTCGACTTGGGAGGATCTCCTGATCTCCTCACATTCCTTATGATGTGTATTATTCAGCGGATAAAAGGAGTCTGGACCATTAGATCTCGTTATGAACTGTACCATATCAATTTTGCATTTCTCGTTATTCATGTAATTACTGGATATATCCCAAAATTGGACTGCCAATACGTTCAAGGCAGAAATACATACCATGTCCTGAAGTAGAGGTCAATTATGAAACAGGGGTGGTGTCTCATCGGAAGACAGGCGATCCAACGTCAAAGAAACAATATTTACATCGGGGGGCTATGTGAAAACGATCGGAAATATGACAGGGGAATCAAGAACGACGATTGAAATGTGCAATCTGCAGCACAAGCAGAGGCGACGGACATGCTTTCTGAACTCCTAAGTATGGCCCGTAAAGGGTTATAGAGCTCCCAGTCTGATAGCGAGCGTGAAATCTAGTCGTCATCGAATATCTGGAACGTATTGACCAGAATGGTCTCAATAACGCGAACCTGCCAACCAGCATCGGCAATGTTGCCGCCGGAACTGGCACCCATGAGAGTAGGTCTAGCGATGCTTGTCAGCTTCCGAAAGTGTCGGAGAGAACGAATATGAGTGCACGGGGTCGGCGACTTACCCAAAGCAGATTGCAATATTCCCTGCATTCATACGATTATTCATGTAATGTTCTTGGACTTTGTTGAGGTGCTAGAATCGAGCAAATTAGACCTTGGCAGATAGAAACCTGGGGGAAATACCGAATACTTACCAATATAACAGCCCTCAGCGTGGCGTAGTGCGCATCTGGAAGGTTATTGACAAGTGCATGTAGTGAATCCCTACGCTGGATGTCATCATCGATCCCTACAGGAATACGTGTCAGCTCTTGTCACATGGCAACCAGGGTTCGACTCTGGGTACTTACGAGCTGCATTAATGAAATCAGAATAGTATCTGGAGGTGAGCAAGGGTTCAGGCAGTTCTCTGAAGAACTGTTTCAGCAGCCCGGCGACACTATTGACGTCGTGATAGAAGCTCTCGGGATTCGTAAAGTCCACCTGTGACGAGTCTGTCATCCATAGAGGTCAGCGCTTGGCAGAGAGGCGGGCTAAAAAACTGCGGTTACACATACCGTTGTCGAAAAGCGACTTCATATGGTTGATGTGATTGGCGCTCCCCGAGAGACGGTAAATGCCTTCCACATCCAACCCAAACAATTCTATTGCCTGGAGGCATTGGTAAACAATCATGGGTACGGCAGTCCCATCTCTTGCGTACAGATCTTCCAATGACACCCCAAAGACCGGCCTCAGGGGAGGAAGATTCTGTTGGAAGTTGTTTCCAGGTGGCGGCAGAGGATTAGCCGGTGCCGTCATAGGCGGTTTGTTCACATTGTGCTGATCTTGAGCCGGTAATCCAGAAGAGGTCGGATAAGGTGGTTGAAATGGGGGTGGCGAGGAGAACGAGTCTGGATGTGGCTGGAAAGACGATGGCTGGGTGTTATGAGCGGACGCTGGTGCAGGAGCCGCGGCCGCGGCCGGTCCAGATGGCTGAGTGGAGGGCTGACTGATAGGAAGATGTTGTTGGGAAAATGATGAAGGAAACACGGTTGACTGGCGCTTGTTCTGCGTGGAAGGCTGCGAGGCCGGAGCAACGGGTGTGGGCGTACCTCCCAGTGTCTAACACGAGATGAGCATGCAGATAATAAATGATTGACAAAATTTAACCTACCGGATGACGCTGGTACTGAATCTGCTCCGAACTCACCGCACCAGGATTATGTTCGTAGCTAAGAATATAATCCTGGAAGTCCTTCTGGTTATCAATCTGCCTTACCACCTCATACAGACTCCTTGGTCCAATAGACCCATTGCCTGCGCCCTCATCTAAAGGCGTAATGGATAAGCCTTGTCCAAGCAGCAACTTCTCATTAAATGTCGCTGAAGCTGAGTTAGCGCAAAGATCAAGAAACCGGTTCAATGCCGGGACGCAATGACAATCATACCGAACTTTTGCAGCTGCAACGTAAGACCAGAGTCACACTCTGCAATTAACTTCTGGATGTTGTGCACAGCCTGCGGACGATGGGTGGAAATCAATTCTCGTCGAGCCGCTTGTGCAGCCGTGACCTTGGCAGCATAATCACCGTCCGCATTCTGCACTTTGCGCAACAGCTCTTCTTCGTGCTGGGCAGCAGATTTATGCCCCTTCAAGCCGAATTTCCCGCCCTGTTTGTCCCCAGTTTTCACGCGATCATACTGCTCCGCAAGATATTCGTATTTGGCCTTTGCTTTCTCCGCTGCCGCCTCGGCCTCAGTAACCCTTTTCTCCGCGCTCAGACCGGTCTGTTTCCATTGTTTGCGTCCCTTCTCAATATTCGCGGCGAGCTCGTGGAGGTCGTCGGCCATCTGCTGCAGAGATACT